GTTTCATTTTGAAATGAAAGAAGAATGAAGATTGCATACTCACAAAGATTAAAAAGAAGATAATAGACTCAGTTTTGTAAGGACAACTTAAATATCTTTGCCAAGTAAGTACTTTTAGGACTGCATGGAACTCAGACTTTCTGGTCTCTCCCTGGAAGTTAGTAAATAGTGGTTTACTTCTACTTTATGGATGACTACAGGGGTCTCAAACCAGAGAAAGCGGAAAGTAAGCGTAAAAAAAGAACATTATCTTTTTGTTTTAACAGAATCTAATTGGACTTTAGTATGAAACAATTATTCCTCAGAATACCAGAGATTATCTTACATGTTTGTTAAAAATGAATAATCAAAACAAGTAAAAATTGGTAATCTATCTGGCATATCAATGGAGATGCTGTGCATATGCACATACAATTGCATTCACTGCTAATAACTATCTGATTTATAGAACAAAACAATCTAATGGAAAAAAACCCCACTTATTATTTTTATTTGGTAGCTGCAGACTAAGAAAACTGTATTGAACTAACATCACTAAGACAGGAAAAAAAAAAAACCTGGCAATTTCTGGCAAGAAAGCCATAAATAATTCACTAAGCTGCTCTATGCCCTCACCTCACAGACTGCAGCATATGTGCTAATGATTCTGCAGAACAGCCATTAGGCTCACAGAGCCTCTGCTACCACATATGAAAAAAATACCAAACCCTCAGCTTTCTATATAATGTAATAAAGACAAACATGTCATGATTTATCAGCAGAAGGGCCACAGAGAAGCAGTTTTATGTGCAACATCTCCCAAAATTGACTGTTTGCAAAACCAATCAACTGACAAAGAGCTGGGAGAATGCAAAAAAATCACCCCCAAACTACACTGCACGGAGGAAAGTAACGGTTAATATCCTAAAATCCTTGCCATGTGAATTATGGGCAACCTGTGAGTGATATAATTACAGCTGTTAGAGGTTTAATTACAAGTTGCAACTGCACCACAGATGAGAATACAACCTACCCTAAACAGAGCACTGGTTATTTTCTTTATCACCTTGAATTTCAGAAAATCTGCTGAAATTAAGCAACACCCATTTTGATGGCAGGTTTTCCAGTCTTCATTCAGTTTCCACAGATCAAACCTGCTGAATTAACATCAGTAAAATGGAGCCTGCTTGTGAGCATCTAATCATGTTTTTTTATGTACCCTTGTGTATGTGTCTGCCTCTATATATACACGTGCACACACTGCAAGGAAACACGACTGATGAAGCTGTTACAGTGAGGCTATCAAGTAAAGAGATATTCTTTCTATTTGAAGTTCTTCCTGTGGAAGTTCTCAGGCTGGATTGAAGTCTTTCTAATGTCTCGCTGTATGAAGCAATTTATAAATAGCAAGAAACACGCCATAAATCTCTTACCATTTTGTGCTGTATTAAACAATAGCTCACTGACGAACGCTTAATACATCTAGGTATCTTCCTTCCCTTTAACCCTTTATTATCTCTGCTTACTTCCTTTTCATGAAACAAAAGATAAGAAAGTGATTTAGGCAGAATTCTTATTTTTCTTGCCTCATTTGTGAACTAAAAAGGGGAAGGACAGTGTATGGAAGCACTAGGCTCCATTTCAAATACTAGTGTGAATCACACAGATGTAGTACCTCTGCTAGGAAACAGGGGTCCCCCTGACATTACTCTCCTCCTGGGACCAATCTAAATCAGATTGAAATTCAAGCTTCAACGGCTGACAGCCAAAGTGGAGTGCAACAGAGGTGGGGGTTTCACCTGGCTTAAATTTTAGTAAATGCTTTAAACTTGGTCCTCAGCCAAAAGCTTTTCTGCTCTACGGATTGGACGACTCTTCACATTTCCTGACTTTAGGCACTTTATTTACTTTCTGAAAGAGTGAGTACAATGTGCTGAAGTAACAAGATTCTAGTCATCACAAAGACTACTAACAACTCAATACTTGTTTTTTTGTACTGTGACCAAACTATCTCTCTAGCGGGAAAGAGACAAAGACCATCTGCATGATTTTAATTTACTTTTAAGAAAAACATAGTGACCATTGTGAGAATGATAACGTGGGTGAAAAGCGGCAAAAATAAAATGGGAATTATAAAAAAGGGCATGTGTTTGTATGTTTGTCTTAATCCTTTCAGAGCCGATTTTCTCCAAGTATTTTGAACAGAACTACAAAACATTCACTTGTTCTAATTCTGAGGTTTGGACTGGTGCAGGTTGACACGACACCTGTATTTTTACCCTGAAGCAGCAGGTCACCACCTTATCCACTTGAGCAAAACAAGCAGAAGCACAAACTGGAGAAGCAGGACTATGAAAAGGAGAAACCTTTCAGGGAACCAAGAAGAATCTGGGCAATTAAAACACAACACAACAAGCAGCTGCATGTATTAATAAGCCTCCAAGTCCCTTGTTGAAAATTTTTTTTCTAGAATAATATCCTTATTTTTAATTTTTTTTTTCCCCCATAAAAAAGAGCCACAAACTGTACAAACTGAATATCCCAAAATGACAGTGACTGAAAAAAAAGGTATCACTGTTCCTTTTTTTAAACTCTAACATACAAATTCTATTTATCATTAGCAAGTACAACAATTTTAAACCACACATTTCTAAACTTTCAGAATCCCGTTTGCATTTCACAGTTTAATTAAACATCCATTTACTTTCCTCTGTTTCTGGTTTATGAAGCTACTCAGACTGGCATTGTTTTTTTGTTAGATTGAAATTTTATCACAATGAAGTAGTTTTTAAAGCACGATGAAAAATCAGGCGGACATTTATTCCCAGATTCTGTACAAGTAAGGACAAATTTGCGAGTCTGGACCTGGTCATTAAAGATGTAAAGAACATAAGCTCTATCAGGAATGGTGAAAAGACCACATTTTGCTCACTGTTATGATACACTGAGCACTACTGTAAAGGGGCAAACTCCCTATTCCCATGCACAGGTAAGGCACTTTCTGCCTTTATGAAATTGGAAATGAGACACAGCAGTGACAGATTTCAGCCTCTCTGGGGAAGCAACCGTCCCTCTGCACGGAGGGCCGTGCCCTGCGCCGTGCCAGGCTGAGGGGTTCTCCCTCTGTGCCAAAAGCAGAGCGGGGCCTCGGCAGCACTTCCACACTGCGCTAAAAGCGATGGGAGCGGCCCAGCCCCCCCGACACTGCTACTTTTGCACCTCAGCAAAAAACTGAGGAAATATCCCCTGTGATTTTCATCGTGCAAAAGCTATCGTATCTGCTGGAAACTTCTAAACCATAATGGTCACATACTGAAATATTTCTTACCTCTCATTAGTAGTTTATTGTACATATTTACAAAGATCAGTCATGACCTACGCAAGCTGTGAATTCGGTACTATTCGTATCACCTCAGCTAACAAAGTGCTCTGATACAGTGGACTAAACCACAATTTCACTCTTGAAACTTGTGGTAGTGTGAGAAAATCTTTTCTAGAGAAGGGGCACCAAAGATTTGTCTGTGTTTGTATGTTTGGGGAAATATAAGGGAGGAAAGAGTAAACTTTAATAATAAATATGGGCCTTGTAACAGGACATTTTTCAAGACAACTGAAATTAAAATAGTTAACTATCACAAACTTCAGTACCACAAGAAAATTGCTGGATTGAACTAACATTAAAGAATTTGGATTAAACATGTTTACGTTTCATTTGTGATGATATTTCTACCACTCCTGGGGAAGAAACCTAATCCAGAAGACAGAGATAACCCAGTTATTGGGGGGATGCTCCCTCATCCCATGATTTTTGACACTATTGTACAGCTAGCTCAGCATCTTGTTCCAGGCTGTTTTCATGGAATGAATTAAGACTTTAAACACAAGTGAAGATGTCAGATTCCTAACAAAGTGCTAGGAGCACATCACCTGGCCAGCCTTAATAGATATTCCTACTGCTGTAACTTAGCTGCTTATTTTACTTCCCACTGTAGCAACTTCTGTAGCCATTAAACACTGGTAAATTATCAGAAAGATTTAAACACACTTAGGAGAATGCTGCCAATAATGTTATTTAATGGAACTTTGGAGGAAAAGGTGAAGGGAAAAAAACCAGATTGGTCAGTTTCGTCTGATCTGAAGAAAAAAAAAACACATGGCAATGTGACATGGAAATAATTCTGACCCTAAAATATACCAATCTAACCTCACTATGTGTTGGAGTACCTCTTCTGAAGGAAAAGGCTGTTTGCTCTCAATGGAATTAGCCATTTCTAGATAACTCTAAAGAAAACAAAGGGGAAAACCAACCTAAAAGGTAAAAAAAACCCAACAGTACAAAAGCAAGCATTTACTTTTGCAAAATCGATTTGTCCCATTTAACTTTTCCAAACATTTGCAGCCTGACTCAAGCTAGTCATCTACTCTTACTCTGAAATCAGTAGGAAGACATGGGTACCTAGAGTGGGGAAATAATCGCTCCCCTCTACCTTAGAATAGCCATACAGAGGTGTCTGCAGTGCTGCCAGAGCGAGAATACGGGTAACTAGTTTTAGATACCTGGAGTTAGCCAAGATAAAAATCTCAGAAAACAATCTTGATGTCCTCTGCAATTCTACACATGAATTCTTTATGAGCCCCAACTAAGAAGACAGTGTACACTCTATAGAGAGGCTGTGACATTTTTATCACACCTTCCCAAATTAAAGGTACTCTCTGCACTACAGGGTACCGTGTCTGCTGCCTCCTGCACCGGCCGAAGCATTACTGCTAGAAGGGATGGCAACCTGGTAGGAGTGTCAGCTCGGGGTGTCTGGGTGCCAGTCCCCACCCCAAACATCCCCAGCACCGACAGCACTCACTCGGGCTGATGGGCTCTGTGTGGGGACTCTTCCCTGGTTCATGGAATCGCAGCACGTTTTAAGGGAGGGTTATACCAAAGGAAAGGTGATCATTCCAGCTCAAGCAGGCCACAGACATGCTGGGAAAACACAGGGTAGGTAAAAGCCATGCAAGTTATATACCTGGTCGTGTGGTGAGTCCTCTGTCTGCAGCTGGGCGGGCATCAACTGGCTCAACTGGGCATGTGCAGAAAAGAAACAAAAAAGCAAACAAAAAATAAACAAAATCCCCCAAAATGATAAAGTCAACTGCTCTTCGTCGGGACAGCACAGGAGAGACATACTGCATACACAAAGTTACCCAAGCAACAGCTAGAGAAGATCTGCCTTCAGTTAATCCTGGAAATAAAAGGAAGGGATGGGCATGACTTGAAAAGGAAGGCTTCACAGCTCAATTTCACATCACATTCTGGTTACTACTTAAAGTGAGAAACCATCAAGATGAAAGAATTTCTGTCTCTAGAGTGGAACTATATTCATTACATGCAAACTTTTTCCAGTTGTCTGATCAGAACTGGCAGCAAGAATGGACACAAGTGACTTCTTGCAGCCAGTCTTGATCAATGCTGACTTACAAACCCACCAAATTCCTTTTTTTTCTTTCCATAGGGATCCTTTAGAGCACTAGCTATAAAGTTTGAAAAAAAGTAAAGCACATTTTGAAAAGACAGTCAATACTTCATTCTGATACACTCTGATTTGTAGATCATAAATTTTTCCCCTTCTGATTTTTGAAAGGGAAGCAAAGAAAGACCAGTTTTTGCTCATAAACTGCTCACTGTACTCAGCATCAGAAAAATCATAACCTGATGATACTGCTGACCTAAGCAACAGGACTGCTTGTCATCTTAGGAAGTCTGTCACTTGGTTAGTATTCCTATGGGGTTTGGCAAACAAGCTCCCATGTTTGCAGTCAAAAGCCTGTGTGGCACCCACGTCCTCTGTACACAGGTGATGGCTGCAATAGCTCCTGCCTCTGCAAAAAAGCAGCAAGTCAGCATTGTAGTAGCCACAGACTAGACATGCATCTGCATGTACAACTTGCTTGTGTTTCCACATGGGCAAAATTTTCACAGAGCTTGCTGGTCTGGTGCTGCAGAGACAAGCCATCAAACCATTTTTATTCACAGAAGTGCAGAGTGACATTAGCAGACCATGTAATTGCTTTCCTTAAATAGCACTAGCAAAGAAAAAAAAAAAAACCTCCATACTTAACCAAGAACTACAATTTTGAGTATTTTCCCATTTAAATCTTCTGGTAGGTTTTCCACTATTGCTACGAACCCTCAGGTAGGTCAGCAGTAGTTTTCAGTGTAAGGGACTGAACAGAAGAAACAACCAAGGGCCAACATTACCCAAACTTCTTCTGCAGAATCCTCTTCCATCAGCCTGGCCCCCACCTCCTCCCTAGACAGCTGAGGGCTTTTATTTCCCTCTTGCTCAGCACTCTGTAACCCTACATGCCCATAGCTACGGTGAACACAGAGAGCAGGCTGTGGGTAATTATATAAATGGGAGTAGGTGAAGTGAGAAAAGGATGAACTTTCTGTTGTACAGTATCACAGACCCGATCTCAGGGTAATATGGTATTTGTGGAGTTAGGTGAAAGTATTAATAATGAATAATTATTCTTCTCTTCTATAGTTTTGGAAGCACTTTGTAGGGGAGAAGGCAAACATCACCAGCTCATTTCTTAACTGACAAAAAAGCAAAATGACCTGCTCAAGGTCACAAACCAGTTGCAGGGCAAAAACTGGAGGCAAAAACTTAGAGGCCAAGGGTCTTCCAAAGCAGATCATGATGCCAGGCACCTAAATGCAGCATGCCCCAGGCAACATGATACAAAGAAAGGGTGAGAGAAAGGAGAGCCCTGAACTGCAACCTTTTGAATTTCAGTTGCATTTTAAAACCTGTTAGCTCTTGCCCGGTATCAATGTATGCACAAACAGCAGTTAACTCTGAAAAATTTGTCCATGAGCTTCCTCACTACCTGCCCCACTGGACTACAACCCTTCACAACAGCTGATACAGAGAGGAGAAGTTTAAGCCTATGATAGCATTTATCAATAATCAAAACCCTTGAGATGTACTGTGTATTATTATACAATTGCATTCATTTTCATGATCTAGAATTGTATTTCTCTTGAACACACTTCCATGTGCACAAAAGCACACACAATTAAAACTGAAAATCTGTTTTCCAAGTAGCCTCACTAAATTGGCATATCCCTCCTCACACTGACTACACAAGCTTCACAGAGGGTACGCATCCCACCTCAGATCTAATGCTAATACATCTCAGAAGAGCAAGAGAGAATGTGGTTGCTTGTTTTCAAAAGCAAAGGTGAATCAAAAAGCTGAAGAGCTGGTAAATCTGCAGGCGAGGAGAGCTATGTGACGCTCACCTACCAAGAACAGTATGGAAGGGAGTGACTGGCCAACGCGTAAGGCTAGCACGGTACATTCACAAGAATGTCACTTCAGACAAACACTTTGTCACTACGGCTAACTGCAACTGCCTGCTGAAAGACAAAGGGTAAAACATTAAACCCAGGTAGTCGTTGGCGAAGTGCCCAGGGACCTTGGCTGTGTCAGAGCTTCACAGCTGCTGGGGTTTTGCTCCCACCTCTGAAGGTGCATTTTTCACTGTTAAATACAGTTTCCTGACAATTTGGTGCTGCATTCTGCAATGTCCTCAGAGAGTACTTTTTGTTAACCTGATTTGTACCTTGATACGCTGGACAAATGTTCAGCCATGCAAGTTGTGCAGTGTATTACTGGTGCTTTGGATTAATTTCTGTGGACATTTACTGAGAAACTACCTCAAAGAAATGAGGAGGAAAATACTTTCACAAACTACTGAGCTATGCTAGACTTTCAAGGTCTTTTTACTTTCAGGCTATTTCTCACTCACTCATTAGATAAAGCAATTTCACTAAACCAAACTGTTTATATAAAACTCAATTTATTTAAACATGCAGTTTAGATTGTGAAAATTTCAAATGGAGTTATGAAACCCTGATATTACATGTCAACATACCAATTCAATGCAATCTTAGTATCTCTGGGTGAAACCTGGGATTAGATCATAACCATAGAATAAAACAGGCATGGAAACTAATGACAAATTTAAGGTATTTTTTTGTAGTTTTTAAACTTCTTCACTTGCATACAGTATACTTTCAAACAAAGACTTAATGGCTGCATATCCTTCCACTTTTTCCATAATCACATTTTGGTTTAAGCATTCCCTGAGTGGTTGGTTTAAAACCAGTTTCACCACTGTGACTGTGCTGGAGGGGGCAGGATCCCAGGTCATAACCCAACCAGCTCCAGGGACTGTTTGCTCAGTTGCCTTTCAGAAGTCAATGGTCCCATCAGAAACTGTTTTTTGACAGTAACTCAAACTGCAATGAGGTAAATGTTTTACCTGGTGTGGCTGCTAGGGACTGAAGAAAACTAATGCTTACACAGTGCAACAGCTCTCTGCAGTGAGGAAGTCAAAGCTCTCATTCTACCTAGAGACCCACCCACGTATGCTGAGCTGACAGTGCTCTGCATTGGTGTTCAGTTCAGTTTTAAGAAAGTTGACTACAGCTTTCAACCTAGACCAAAACAGTATCAACAAATGAACTTGTATAACTTGCTTGCCATCTGAAACTCCTCTGGTAGCCTCCTAAATCTGCTGGACCAACCGCTCAGCATTGTTCCCAGACACCAGGCTCTTTACATGGAACATACTGCCATTTCTCTCAATAGTGCTGCTGAGAACTCTCAGCCCTCACTCAAGTAAATGGGAGCTGAGATGTTCAGTTCTCCAGCCTTCACTGGCATACTCAGCACATCCCAGCAGCAAGAGATGTTGACCATCACTAATACTGCAATGGTTAAGTCTCTCTACACTAGCTGAGGTTTCTCTAGCATGTGATTTTTGAACTTACTCCTTTTTTGATCAAAAGTTATTTGTTAAGAAAGAGCAATGACTTGCTCAGTACTGCAAAAGATACAAAATCTTCCCTGCATAAGGGGAACTTGCTGTGTGAAAAATAGACTTTGCAAAAAGACCTTGAGTGGAAAGGGAGAGGAAAAAAGAAAAGGAGAAAATTGTGTCTATTGTTATTTACTTCTTGCTACTACCAAAGCATTTCATAACAAGACAGACACATTTTTGGAAGCAATTTAGACAAAGTCTGGGATCAGACCATGTCCAGGGAAGAAAACAAGCATGGGAAGTGAAGACAAATGGCACACTTAGTCCTGGGTTTCTGGAACAAAGAGGTGGGAAGCAAACACAAAGGAAAAAGATAAGGCTGTAAAATTCCCCTTTGATACTAGGAACAAAGATACAGAGAGGGTATCTAAAGCAAGAAAGAAGATATTGTAGGCATGATCACATTAACAACATTGTGGTTTGGGTACATGACAGAGAAGTACAGAGGGAAACAAAGACTTGAAGAGGTTTAATTCATCAAATAATTTCTAACTGTGCCGACTTAAATGCTAATAATGGTCGGCCTGACAGAACTGCTTGCTGCAGTGACTTCATTACAAATACAATCCTGACATCAAAAAAGCCTCTAAACCCCCACAACTTAAAGGCATGAAAGTTAAAAGATGTTCCCACAGTAAACATTAGGAAGTACTGCAACAAATGGTATAGTGCATTAAAATACACACCGTTCATAATTAAGCAGTATTTCCACGCAAGGCAGGAGAGCTTTTGTTTCTTATTTGCTGTCACACATTTTAAAAGGAGAACCATGCTCAATACAGTTGCCCGTGGGAATTCAGTGTCACATTGAAGTATGTACCTTTCACTATTAAATTCTGGGCTTAGCCAGGTTTCTGAAGGAAAAAAAAAAGGCCTTTTTTCCTGAATGCAGTGAGTGGGTATAGAAACTGATGCCCTGTATGCCCCAGGTACAGGACAACTGCAGCAAGAACTGCACTGGAAAATTCCTGCAGGACAGAGGCTGGCAGCTGGCTGGACACTGTGCTACAGTCCCCAGGGAGGGGCAGGGAAGTTCAGCTGACGCAGCCAGCCCCACGTCACTGGGCTGTGGGTGCCCTCCAGACACGTCTGCAGTCCTTGTCACCAGCTCCTCTCTTCTGGTTCTTGCTGCTGGCCGGGCTGCTGAGTTTGCTCCAGCTCTCTTGGCCCTTTTTCTTGGTTCCTAACTGTAGTGGTAACTCCCTGGCAGTCTGATTTTGGCCCCGCTCCTGACCGGCCTCTCCCCTTTCCCTTAAACCCAGTCTACTTCTGCCTCACTGATCTGTTGACCCTTGCTCAGTTCCTTGCCATATCTTTACGTCTGCCTGATCTTTATGCTTCTCAGACTCCTGGGGATAACCCACTTTGGTGACAAAATTGGTTATGGCTCCATTGATTTCAACTGGCACCAGCACCACACCTGGTAAATCCACGCCCATGTCCCATGTTTCACCTCCCAAGCACCCAGTTGCCCACAGTCACTAACACACTGTGCTGGAGTGAGACTAACTGAGTAAGGTTGGTCTCATTGTGAGAGCAGGTACAGCCTACATGAGTGGTTTGAAAAGACTTCTAGAGGATGTTAATGTCTATGCAGCTCAGCCACAAATCACAAACACACAAAATATAAATCTGTCTGGAAAAAAGACTTCTGTAGCTACAGCCTCTGTGAATCTACTGCTGCCTTGCAGTAACGGACTTTCACTACTGTGACTAACTTATCACTAATGGCAGTGGAGCTGAACTGATAAAGGAAAACAAACACAGGAGGAACTTGAATGACATGGTTGAAGTCCCTCAGGTTTCTGATTAATTGGCTCCGGCACCTAAGTAAACTACCAATTCCAGACTACACATAAATTATTAAAGTATTACATAGTCACTTCAATAAATTAGTCCATGAGCAACATAAAATACTCCTCAGGAAAAAAAGTTTTCATTGCATTGCTGACTATGCAGGAACATTTCTGCAGTACATTCCAGACAGAATGGTGGAGGAAAATAAAATCAACTCTCATGCTAGGATTGTGCTAGATCCGTAATCATTTTGATGTCAGCAAATAAAAAGCTCTTCCTTAACCAACACACTCATTTCATCATGGCACAAATCTAATAACTTATCCATCTACCTCAGCTCACAGTCATGTATTTTATAAGACTGTCACTCATAACTTGCTGGAATTTATTCTGATTTGTTTTTAAAGGAAAGTAAGCTCAACACTGAAATTTATTGTGTGTCTAAATTCCAAATTTTCTGTTCCATCAAAGAGACACAGGGGACATGGCAGACCAGTTCTAAACTTGCATTTGAGAACCTCTATCCTGCTTATATCAGAAATATGGCAATCTTCAGGAACAATGTGAAAAGAAATCACAAAGCTCAACTTAAAGCATTCAGTGGTTTCTCCCCCTATTGTACATACCTTCATTTTCAGTATTGGCTGGAACCGAATCAACGCCAAAGGGATGCCATGGCTGAAGGTCATCTAGGCTGAACTCTCCATCCACTGGAAGAAGTTCAACTGTGGTCTTAGTTTCCGTCAATGAAGGCATGAGAGCATCATTTCCATAGCTGATCCTGGGTTCACTGATCATATTGGCCAAAACATCATCAGAATAGTTCTGCTCTTTCTGAAGTAATTCATCTGCAACGAAATTTCAACACAGAAGTTATCTGAAAGAACCTGCATTTCTGAGGACATATTTCCAATGCTATTGAAGTAATAAATTATTGTTAAAAGATTCTATTTTCTTATGATAAAGAAAAACATAAAAGTTTGGGACAGTCAAAACCCTGTGAAATGCACTGCTGCTAAGTGAGGCACTTTTTAGAAACATCAACCAGAATTGTTCAGTACTGTTTACTACCCACTTTTCCACCACGTAACAGATCACAGGTCTGTACTTTACAAGTACATAGTCTCTTCCACACACTTTTAAAACAAGCACAAATCAACTCCCTCCAACTCAACATGCTGCTGTAAATCAGCAAGCAAGAGGCCTACAGGAAGGAATGCCTTTGCTATTTCCCCTTCCTCTTCAATGCTGTCAAAGCTCATCACAGCTCTTAAATCCTATATATCACCACAACAGTTACTGTATTAAATTTGGCTTACTATAACACAAGGTATATGAAGAAACACTTGCCTTTTTAACATACATAACTTGTCCAAAATACCAAAGTAGTTCTTAGCTAAAAGTCCTAAGTAGTAACAGACACCTGTAGGCAAATTATTTTACAAGCAACAGCACCTAAAGGTGTGCAGTATTATCTAGGTTGGTGGTTTTCTTTTTAATTTTTTTTATTTGAAGCAAGACAAGATCAATCAATGCACTTTCCAGTTCCATCAGTGGTACAGGACAGCCTGCTCAACGCAGTGTCAGAAGTAAGCTTGGAGTTTGTGTGTGCTTCATTATTCAAACGCCCTTCTCACATCAAAATTCATGTACTCTCCATCTCCCCCTTCACTGCCACGTTTTTGGTCGGAGCACCAATTTGCAAGTACTTTGAGGGAACCTGATGCACAAGAGCACGTCCAGTGTCGCAGCAATGGCAGTGAAGAAGGTAACTCACTGCTAGTAACGCACGGGTGCAGCTGGCAGGCAGGCGCTACGGAGCTCAATGCCCCAGAACTGAGGACTAAAGGTTACGCCCCTGGAGCGCCAGTCCCTGCTCACCTGAGCGCCCCACGGCAGCTGCCGACGCCAACGCTGTCAGTAAGACTGGCTCCTCTGCACCTGCACTGAGGACCTCCTGGCTGTCACTGCTTCAGAGCCACATCTGAACCCTGCAGCTAGTCAAGGACAGGAATCATCACCCTACTGCTAGACCCTTTATGTCACTCTGTAGGGGCTCGCCTATTTCCCAGTGTCATCAGTGAGGAAGGGCACTGAAATTTCTATACACACCAGAACTTTGGATCCTCAGAAAAATCTTTTGGATGTTATTTCCTTCCCAAGCCTACACCATGCTGTACCACGCACTGTGTCCATGCAGCAGCCCTCAGTAAGCATCCTCACCAAGTCGTGAGCATTAGAGCTGGCACTGCTTCAGTGCCTTTATCAGTGATGACGTGGTAGGGCTCAGCTCTGCAATATGTCTCTTAAAGGTCACCTTGAGATCGTTCATGCAACTCTCTGTCACCCTATTACTACACCAAATTCAGAACACCAAAATGAAACAAAAAGTTGTAACCTCAGCCCTGGGGCAAACGCATGTCCTCAATCATATAAAATGAAGTTTTATAACAAATTTTCCCATTTAAATGAGAACTGCTTTAGTAGACAGTAAGCCTGATGTGTACACAAAATTTAATTCTGTGATTTAATTTATTCATTAGAATCACTTACTAAGAGAGTACAGAAAGCCTGTATAACACTGAATTCTTTTCCCCTTTGTGTTCATTTTACTGAAACCAATATTGTTTTAGAAGATACCTAATAAATCTTCAGCATGGAAGGCAAATCTGTTTTTTGTCTCCCCACTGCAAGTAAACTAATTCTTTATTAAAGCATCCCTTTGTATCAGAGGAGAGACAGGTGAAGCGTCTTGGTATTTTGAGCAGACGTTCTATCATCTGATAGATGTTAATGTTCATTAGCAAAGGACAAAAGACTATATGAGAAAGGAGATGGATGTCACTGGTCTGAGGGAGAAGTCAGGTGTCCAACTGCCTCGCAGGGAGCCACGACTGGCACCAGTTGAACACGTTACAATACTAAGTCATCGCAGATCACACGAAAGCGAGTATTACAGTGAGCATCTTGGTGTCTGCAAGCTTTTTGGGCACAGAGGTGCGGCTGCTCTCAGTCCTGCTCTCTTCCCTGCACTCAGAGGATCACATAGAGAAGCTGAGGAGAGCTGCAGCCTGTGCAGTGGGTGGCGAGTAAAGTTGGGGGTGCTGTGCCCCAATCAACCCTTTTATCTGGGCAATGCTAGTGCTCCACAACTCCTGTCTGTTCCCTGGTGCTGATGCACTGTGTTATCTGCAGACAGCTCCTGCCCTTGGAAAGGCACAAAAGGCACAAGGAGGGGAAGGAGCAGAGGGAGAAGGACCTGAGCTCTGGCAGCCACAGCTAGCACGGCACTTGGGGAGAAGACTTGGCGCAGACAGAGAGGAGAGCCCCTCAGCTCCCATCACGATACCACAATTATATCCAAATCCCTAGAGGCTGGGAGGGATGCATACAAAAAGTGTCTCTCAAGGCTACCCAACCGGGAGCACGTCGTGGCTGGCGCCCGCAGGCTCCTTTGTTTGCCACTCAGCTGCGGAGCGCAGCACGGGCACGAACTGCCCCGCACAATAGCTCAAGTCAGGCAGGCAGATATTACAACCAGCAGATTATGATCGCATCCATTTTACAAGCGGGGAAACAATGGCCAAAATGAATCAAGCCCATCTGACATGATGAATCAGACACGAATGATAGTGAGAAATTGGAAGCGTCTGGCTTAGAAACTGTGCTGGAGTTCATCAGACTGAGACGGCTGCGTCTGCATCGAGTAAATGATTTGCAAACAATTGCTTCGATCTTGGAACTACTAAAAAAGTTTGCCCTAGGATTTCCAGTTATTGACACTAGCTGGCAAAGTCCAAGATCAATTTTTCAGTGCCCATTTTGTTCCGAGCATTGATGGCTACTTGAAGCCTCCGTTACGCTACTGGGAAGCCACAGAGCCCCGCTGCCACCCGTCGAGCCCTCCACACAGCTGCCAGCCCAACCCCCCACCCTGCAAAAGACAATTCCCTAAATAACCAGGGAGTACGGACACAGCTGGAGCCTAGAATGTGCATTTGAGACCCTTTCAGGAGTTTTCTTTGTGTGCTGAATATCTTCATTATTAAGTGCTGAAAATAGAGATATTCTAGGCTGCTCTTCAAAATTTCATCTCCTGTCAAGCCAACAGGACAAAACTCCCATTATAGTCTTCCTATAATAAACTTTTTGTTGCTCGCCTCATTAGCTCCTTGTAGAATCATGGAAGTGTTTTGGTTGGAAGAAACCTTTAAGATCAAGTCCAACTGTTAACCCAGCACTGCCCAGTCACCACTAAACCATGTCCCTCAGCACCACAACTACTCATCTTTTAAATTCCTCCGGGCATGGGGACTCCACATCTTCCCTGGGCAGCCTGTTCCAGGGCCTGACAACTTTTTCAGGGAAGACGTTTTTCCTAATATCCAACCTAAACCACCCCTGGCACAACCTGAGGCTATTTCCTTTTGTCCTATCACTTGTTCCTTGGGAGAAGAGACCGACCCCCACTTCCCTACAACCTCGTTTCAGGTAGTTGTAGGGAGCAATAAGGTCCCCTTGAGCCTCCTTTTCTCCAGGCTAAACAGTCCCAGTTCCCTCACCTGGTACTCTTAAGACTTGTTCTCTAGACCCTTCACCAGCTTTGTTGCCCTTCCTTAGACCCACTCCAGCAGCTCAATGTCCTTCTTGGAGTGAGAGGCCCAAATCCGACTACAGTATTTGAGATGCAGCCTCACCAACGAGAGTACAGGGGGATGATCACTTCCCTACTCCTGCTGGCCACACTTTCTGATACAGGCCAGGATGCTGTTGGCCTTCTTGGCCACCTGGGCACACTGTTGGCTCATGTTCAGCCACCTGTCAACCACCATCCCCAGGTCCTTCTCTGCCAGGCAGTTTTCCCAGCCACTATTCCCCAAGCCTGCAGTGTTGCCTGGGGTTGTAGTGTTCTGTCAAGTCCTACCATTAAGAAGGGCAAGGAGGATGTTGAAACTCTTGCCCTTCTGAAAGCATGTGCTCAAAATCAACCACGACCTTGGGGAAAAACACATGCTTACCTGGGACATCAAACCTCACAGAAATTCTGGATGTGGTGTGAGGGCACATATGCTGCTTCTCTTTCAGACGCCCTAAGCCTCACTTCTGGTATTTCAATAACACACTTCTCAGACTTTTTATCACCTCTGAGGAAGTTTCACTCATTCCTGGGCTCTCTGCAGACATTTCCCTGTTGGTCATTACTACTCAACAACAGCATCTAGAAAAACTGAAGTGAATATATCTGGGGAAACTAGATAGAAAGCTAATACCACTACAAACTCCTTTCAAGACTATCCTCTTATCCCACAAAGAGACGCAAGGAGTCAAAACCAAAGAAGGAGCAGAGGAAAAGAGAGATAATTTTTACAAAAACTTCTGGTGGACGCTAGATTGTTAGAAGCCACTTATTCACGAGAGCCCTAAACCATACTTCTACTTGTAAAGCTTTGCAAAGAGCACTGTACTAGCAAAGATACAATAACAAACCCCAGCAGAAGTGATGGAGTCTTAGACTGACAAAACCCATGCTATTTTCTAACTTTTATCTACTTCTTATTGGCGTACAACATTGTTTCCAATGTTAGGCTCTGGGGCATACCGACCCGAGCTCTTAACTGGTCTAACTGTAATGACAGAAATTTCATGTGGAACAGCTCCACTTGCTGTCCTGGAATGCCATCAATCCATTATCTATCTTTCAAACCATCATTTTTGTTCAGTTCATAGCTCATTATTTAAATTTCTAAAAGTAATCACAATACTTGTTGTGTTTTCTTTTCAAGACGACTGTCTACTGGATGAAAAGCTCAGCAATCACTATTCTGTAGAAGACTTTTGAATTTACTTG